ATCACTGAACAATGGAGATGAGTGCTAGAGAGGAATAAAGGTGCTAGTCGTTACTTTTAAAGCCCTACATGGTATCTAACCTGGGTACTTGAGAGACCGCCTCCTGCCAGTCACCTCCCAAAGACCTATCAGATCCCACAGATTAGGCCTCCTCCGAATCCCATCTGCCAGCCAATGTCAGCTGGCAACTCCTCAGGGGAGGGCCTTCTCTGTGGCTGCTCCGGCCCTCTGGAACGATCTCCCCGTGGAGATCCGGACCCTCACTACCATTCCAGCCTTCCGCAAAGCAGTTAAGACCTGGCTGTTCCAGCAGGCCTGGGGCTGCTGAACTATCCAGTCCCATTCGAGGTTACGGCTGTTGTAGAATTTTAAATTTTTTATTTTTTTATTTTTTTATTTTTATTTTTTTGTATCCCCTCCCTTTTTATTGTTAGCCGCCCTGAGTCTCTCTGGAATAGGGCGGCATGGAAATTTAATAAATTGAAATTGAAATTGAATTGATCATGTGACTGTGGACATGTTGCAATGGTAATAAGTTTGAAAAACAGTCATAAGTCATTTCTTTTAGTGTCACTGTGACTTCGAACAATCACTAAATGAACTGTTTTAAGTCAAGGACTATCTGTATTGTACAGTAGCTGAAATCTCTTAGTAAATCAGCTAAGGAAGAGCTGGATGGATTGTCTTTTTTCAGCAGGCTAATATGCTTTGTGGCCTGTTTTTGCTGTCACTGATCTCTTCTCTTGCCATCTGCCTCTCTCCCCTTGGTGATACATCATGTGCCATTTCTTAGCCCCACCATGCCACTGGTTAGGTTGACAGGCCCCTCACCTCCTTTTCACTTTGCAATCCTTGTTATGCTAATGATATAGCTGAAGATTATATATAATCACCATGACTCTGGTTCTCTTAGTGTGCCAATCATTAAAAATTCTGTCCACTGTACTACTTGCATTACTAAGACAATATCCTAGTTTTTCTTATATTTTTAATGCCATACTGTATAATAGAAAAGTACCTATCTGTGTATAATTACAACATCTCAAAAGATACAAAGGTTTTGCATGAATAAACCATTTCATTTATGTTACCCAAGAACCACTTTAATGCTTTAACGCTCATAGTAATTTTATGCCTTTTTCACATTTAAAATTTCCCTATCTGCAAATTCGAAAGCATGCTAACATTGTTCACTTGCAATCTTGTGTAAACTTGTATGAATGTATTCGTGTGTAGATGTTTATATATTAAAAGCTAGGTCTTTTAATCTATAAAAACCCTAGCTTTTATAGATTATAAGCCTTATGGAAAGATAAACTATAAGGATATATTCATCCTTACCCTGTGTACCCTTCATTTAAAAGGATGGCATTTCAGGAAGGAATGATTAGGAATATTCAGATGTCAAAATGATTGAGAAGAAATGTTTTAGAAATTGTTAGTGTAACTCTTCTTTAAAGCATTTTCATCTTTTAAGGGCTAGCCTTAGAAGCAGGCTCATTAACGCAACTGCATCTTTGATGCAGCCCACTAAAGCAGCTGCATATTTCTTCATCTGTTGTTATAAATGATTCCACTGTTTATTGGCTTATCCTTATTACAGGAGAACCAATGACCAGAGAAACAGAAGCACTACCTGTGATGATAGGAGGTTTTAGTATTGATACAAAAGATGGCATAACAGCTGCATTTCCTTTCAGAAAGAATTGTATTAAATAAGCATTTCAAGAACATTCCTACATGTTTTCAAGCACTTCCTCGAATACTTTTCAAAGCATGTGCACCTGTAATAATGATTAGCCATATATTCCACTGAACTCAGTGAACTTTCTTGATTCGGAACCTCTATGTGTAAAATTGCTATACAGGATGACCAAGATCTAGTCTCTTTTGGAAATCCGTCAACTGGTAATGTTGGAATTAGCTTGTACTCAGCGATGGGATTCGCTCACCTTCCCTACCAGTTTGCAAATATGAACGCATGCGCTGCATCTGTGCACGCACACCGCCTTCTGCGCTTGTGCAGTGCTTGCGCATTACATCAGGGTGGGTGGGTGGAGCCTCCCACAGCTGCTTACCAGTTCACCCGAACCAGAGAGAACCGGCTGAATTCCACCTCTGCTTGTACTATATGGCCAACCATCCAATCTGTTTAGCTTTGCGATTCATCATTGATTAGGAGAGTGATCTGATCTGATAGTAAACTGTGGCTTGCTGAGTCTGAACATTTTTCAGTTTCTTAGGAAGGCAGGGAGCTTTTAAATCTCTCTACAGCCAAGCATTTCATATAGGAATTTACATTAAACATGTATTTTATCTAAAATAAACAATAGTCATACAGAAGGATTTATGGCAAAAAAAACATGATTTTAAGAGTAATACTTTCTAAACTGAAATCATATTTCCTGAGAAAGCATGAACTCTCACCACTAAAGAATCACCCCTCTTTCTCTCTCCCTCCCTTCCTCCTTCCCTCCCCACCTCTCTCTCACTCTATCCATCCACTCATCCATCCCTTCTATCTATTGACAACAATTATTATATATTATGATGGGAGCAAGCCTAAATCCTCCTCAGTTTACACACTCTTTCTTCTTGCAGCATGGCTGCAACTTTTAAAAAAGAGTTAGGAAACATTTATTTTTAACAAATGGTGAACCTTCTTCACCAAGCAACTCAATGAAATTGGCTTCATTCAACAATAAAAAGATAGAGTTTTCCCCTGTCCAATTGCGTTTGACTCTAGGGGGCAGTGGTCATCTCCATTTCTTAGCTGAGGGAGTCAGCATTGTTCAAAGACATTTCCATGGTCGTACAGCCAGCATAGCTATATGCTGAAGTGCACCGCACACAATGCTACTACTTTCCCACCGAAGTGGTACCTATTTATCTATTTGCATTTGCATGTTTTCAAACGGTTAGGTTGGCATTCAACATCATATCACAGTAACCACAATGTATACAGGCATACTCTATGCAGATTGCAATGATTCAGATTAATACTAGGTGACTACAGACAGTTTTCTAACATCCCTTGGTTGCCCTCTAATCATTGTAGGGATATTTTTAGCCTAAATATAATATGCCTAGATTAGGACATACAGTACTTCTATTTTCTTCTTACGAACTGAGGAGAAGTTCAAGGATATTCTTATTTCTATATGCATGATTTACTATGACCCCTCAATGTACACTTAATAACATAGACTCTACCTTCTGAATTAGTTGTGGGAGACATTGAAGGTCTGCCAGGTTCTCCTGGGTTATTTACTGATGGAGTTGTTTCCTCTTCAATAATAGGCTTTGTAGAAAACATAGAAGTTGAAGTTGAAGTAGAAGAAGTTGATCTACTAGACTTAGATGTAAGGCTGGTTGCAAAAGTATTTGCTACAGAAAGTGTGTTTGTTGCAGTTGGGGAAGATAATGAAGCAGAAAAAACATAGTCACTTTTTGTTGTAGAAATACCTGTTGGGGAAGGCTTAGTGATTCCAGGTAAGGGAGTAGTAGACTGTCTATCACCATCTGGTACTGAGCTTGTAGTGGGAGTCTTCGTGATTACAATTTTGGAAGAGGTTGATGACTGGACACTCCCACCAGTTGTTGCAAAATTGCCTGGTGGGGTAGGTTTGGAAGCTCCAGACTGAGGAGGTGCTTGAGTGGTGGTGGGGCTTGAGGTCTTGATGGATTCCACTGTTCGTTGGCTTCTCTCTGTTACAGGAGAATTTGTGGTCAGAAACTGTGTAGAATTACCTGGGATGACAGGAGGTTTTAGTGTAGTTACAAAAGGTGGAATAACTGAACCAGATACAGAAACAGTCACAGGATTTCTTGTAATGTCTGTAAGGTTATCCTTCCCAGTTGTACTTGAAAGAGGTGACGTGGACTTTGTGGATCCAGAATTACCTGTGATGACAGGAGGTTTTAGTGTAGTTACAAAAGGTGGAATAACGGAGCTAGATACAGAAACAGTCACAGGATTTCTTGTAATGTCTGTAAGGTTATCCTTCCCAGTTGTACTTGAAAGAGGTGATGTGGACTTTGTGGATCCAGAAGGTTTAGGACTACTTATTCCACCTTTTGT